GCTATTGAATCATAATAACATTTTACCACATTTAACTTTTATTTTTGTAATGTATTTACAAATTTAATATCTCTATTACAATTTAGTATATGAACTATTATTTTAAGGAATATGTTTTTATTTCATTTTTGCGCAACAAAATAACAGCATTATCCATCATCTGTAATAAAATTTATGTCGTTAATATAATTTTTATCTTAAATTTTGTCAATTTCAACGAACTAAGTACTAGCCAAGGCCGCCTTCTAAATATATTTTTGCAGATAAAGTCATATGGACTGATAATGATGTTATCATTGTCATATTGATCTATATCAGATATCAATACCCTGAAACAATTGGTATGACGTTCACGTAGATAGACAGTATTCTCAAACGTCCTTGCCTTCGGATTTACAATGCTTCGTTTCCAAACCTACTAATATCATAACTTACACTTTCAATATAGTAGGTATTACATCTGTTTATGGCAAATAATCTGCTCCATTTTTATATATGATATAAATAAATATAAGACGAAATCACAACATTGTTAGCATCTCTAACTTAGTTGCTTAATTATTGTTATTATAGAAATCTGGAACAACGAAGTTATTTATAAACTTTAAGCGAATATACATGATTATAAGTGGTACAAAGTGTGATCCATGGGGTCTTATTTAATTTCGAGTCTAGCAATTGTATAGGTAGTACAAAAAAACGAAATTAATCAATATAGGTTTAAAAGTTTAAAAAATAACGTACATGTGGTGTCATTGCTAATGTTATAATTAATTTCGTTCGGTTACAATTATATTTATTGTTTGTCCTCTTGTGTATATAATTTAGTATTAACCGCAGATAATATAAAACTTAAATGCTACTCACAAACACTAGTCGTCTTTCTATATTTATTTATATGCTATTTTTCATTACTTGAATTTTGATACTATCTCATTTAGTGTTAGTTACGCGATATTACACTAGCCCCGTCGAAATGCAATACTTATTCTGTCATCACAGATAATTGTTTAGTTATTACCAACCCTAGTGCGCATTAATGCGTCAGGTATGTCGCCCAGTGCAATAACGTGAAGCAACTTACCGGCACCACGCTATATTCGTAGTGTTGTGCAGGCGACGGCCACTTCAGAACTGTAATTATGTTACTTCCTCTTAACCCGTCTTACAACACCAACAAATATTAAGAGTAACAAACTTGTTAGCATATTATTTATAGTTTATTATAGGTAATCTACCAAAAAAACTATTAGAAATTGCTTAGAATATGTAAACTTTTAACTAAGAAGAAAATAACTGTTCTGATTTGATAATTTTGCATTTAATGTTCTATTTTGTGAAAAGATATCTTCGGGATCCATTTCATATGGTTATTAAGTTAAAATAAAAAAGGTAAAAGGCAAAAATTCCTTCCCTATTGTTAAGATTCCGGTCCCCAAATGGATCCTGTTGTTGTATGTAATGTTTCTCCTATCTATCTATCCGTCCTACCCGTCTTATCGCGCTCGAGACTATATTTTTTAACTGTAAGGTCGAAAACGCTTAAGGTCCACAAGATGCATTAATTACAATGGTTGAGAGCAACTTCGGCGAGTTGAACAGGCACTTGACCGATTCCTTTTTTATTAAATGATATGACCGTTATAATGTGTTTCTTTTTTGCACTCGCAGGTGTGGCCCAGGGATACTGTTCTCCATCATTGTTATTTATTAGGTTGCCAGTTAATAAGCACAACTTTTTGTGAGAACTATAAATTAATAGTAAATAAACGACTTTTTGTATCAAACGCAGCCAACGCTTCAATAAAAATGCCTTCTCTATAGGAAAAAGCACTTGAAAACTATAAAAATTTATTTCTAAATTAATTGTAAGAGCAGCATCTTTTATCATATACCGCCTCGGAAAAACAAAATCCTAATTAATTAAATTGTTAGCAGTTTCATGTTGCTTATAAATGTTTTTTTCGTAGTAAATAGAGATAATAGACAAACAAATAGAAATGTGAACTATGTTTAAGATCACGTTGGTTGGAGAAAGGCAGTCCATTTTATTTATTGTTGTGAAAGAACAATTATAACAAAATTATCCCTTTATAGTTAGTCGTAATATCGTTTACGTAACATAAACTCTACAAGTCGTGTCCTTGTACGCTGTTGTATTAGACACGCGTTCAAAAGAAAATTATGTAAACACGTTTCCTATATTATATTATGAATAATGAACAGTTCTTAGTTTTACTTCGGGTTGTCTTATAAATCATTTGGATGGTTCATTAAGTAGTTTTGAAAACTGTGTCAAAGATAATATATAGGAAATAAATGAGGCAATGCTCTGATAACGGCTAATCGTAAAAATATGAAAGAACAATTACGTTTGCACCCCAAATGAAATTGGGATTGGGACAAGCAAATAATAACTATAATTCCGTGTGCAGGTGGGGAGACGCCAATTCTAATGATGATAATTTAAAATTGAATTACTTGCTTAAAAAACTCTTCTTTTTGTACATATTGACGTCATTTGTACATGTATGTACGTAGTTTTTTTTTTGTTAATTTAAGTAAAAAACTCTTATGTAGGTAAAAATCTTTGTGTAGGTTTTTCTTTTATGAAATTGATTGATTGATGTAACGATACCTTACTAGTTAGGTACTTATAAGTGATTAGTTTTTATGTATTGTTTTTATGATCTTTTGGAACATATGAAAGAAAATTATCAAAACGAAAAATAAAATCATAATTTACCTCTCCTCTTGTAGTCACAAAGATATTAATTTTTCATTCATAGTAGAGAAGTTCCCGCTAAACTTGTGTGAAATATGCTTAGTCAACACTTTCTTGGCAATGCATACTAGTTGGGTACTTATAAGTGAATAGTTTTTTTGTATTGTTTTTATGATCTTTTGGAACATATGAAAGATAATTATCAGAATGAAAAATAAAATTATAATTAACTCTCATCTTTTAGTTACAAAGATATTAATTTTTCATTTATGATAGAGAAATTTCCGCTAAACTTGTGTAAAATATGTTTTCAACACTTTCTTGGCAGTGAACTACAGACTGCCACTATCGCGTTTTCTGCAACTGCATTATCTTCAAAAGCCGGCGGTAAGAACCCGTGCCACAACGCTGGTGGCGCCATCGCACTTGTCGTCACTGCACCAACCACAACAAACACAGTGCGCCATAATATAGGGCTGCCTACCGTCACGTACATTTATTTATTTAATTATACTAATAACGCAGATGAGTTTATTACCCGATTATGCATGCAGGGTGATACACTTTACATATGAAAATACATTTTACTCACTATTCTTTTAAATGACTTTCGAAATTTTACGTGTAAATATTTTGGTCAGCTGGTAAATATTTTAACTATCATTCAACTAAATAATTTCTTTTCTTCTTTTAAATAACGCAATAGATTTCAGTTTTATGTTTTTTTTTATCCCTTTATTCGTCAGCGCGAAGTTACGCCAGATCACTGGTAATAAATAAAATTAATAAAGAAATATAGGTATTTTTTAATATATCAACAGCTTTTTATGAAATTAGCAACCCTAAACCGTCGTTATCGTTTCTGTCGTTTCATTAAAGAAGTGGGTTAGGGGCTTTTGCAAACTGCAACCACGGCGATAAACTGCAATCCCTTCCTTTCGATGTAATAAGCCAATATTTGAATTTAAAGTAAATGTTAAATTATATAATCTCTTCAAAAAAATCGGGCATCTAGAAACTGTCGAAATAATCAACCTTTTTTAAATGCTCGATTTTATCCTTTTAGGTTTACAAGGCTAATGTGTTACTCGGATACCAGATAAACACCATCGTCAGGAACTCCAAAACTGAAATATCTTACCATATTAGAACGTCATAAATTATTTAATATCTTTGTCAGTAAGCCGCATAAAGTATGGAGAAACCATTCTTTTTTAAATATCAACATTGTGAATAAAGTTTGCATTTACATATTGATGAAATGTCATTTATATCCTCGTTCTAACCAGACAGCAAATGGACAATCGTCAAATTACCCAATCATGCACCGACTCGGTCAATGGCCTATGCAAATTGTGAAACGATTATTGCAATAATCCTTAGTTAAAATTCTTCGTGAACGGTTCCGTGTATTAAAATCGAATTACAGTGTGACATAAGTATTGCATTCTTAAACGACCTTTTAAGTTTTCACTTTCTATTCGGAAACCTTGATCGGGTCATAGCTATACGGAAGAACCGCCCGTCGATCCGTTTGATAGATGATCAGTGATCATTACTAATTTTGTGTAGCGACATCTTACTTGTGTAATGTAGGTTGATACAAATGCCCACTCAGATTCTTTTGTACAACTCAGTAAACGGCGTGAAAAGTATTCTTAAATATGATAACTGTTTGGTGTTTAAATTAAACAAGTTCTATAATTATTTAGAGTTTATTTATTGACAAAAATCACACATCAAAGCACACGACATAAACCGAACAATCATTGTGTCAACAGACAAGACCGATAATAACCTAGCTAGAACATAGTTAAACATAGTGAAACAGCATAGAGTATATAATAGTGTTACCGCACAACAATAAATAATTGAATCCAAAAGTTAAGATGTTGATTGAGGCATCGTCATATTTACTATAAAGGTAATATTATACGAACTAAGCTGCGGTTTTGTCATATGGCGAGTTGAGAGCTGTTTTTAATCTCATATGGAATATGAAATGAATTGATCTGCAAAAATAGTTAAAAAGATCTTTTAAGTATCCTAATAAACCCGGAAGACCTATACGGAATCATGTAATTAATTTTTAATAAGAACATCTATTAGACCAACACACGATATTTTTCGCTACGCAGAAACCGCAACATTTTCTACATTATTTCACGTTGATTCTACAGAGAAATGAGAGACTTTACAGTACTATAGCTATAGGTATCATTCATAAATTTGTTACGGATAGTTTGGAATTGATGAAATTGTTTCTTGTTTCCAGGAGGTCGCAATGGTGTTGTGACCTGCAGTGATGATGAGACTCGAGGAGAAACAACACCGCTACCACAACCTGCTCCACGACGACCATGCTAGTGAGTACCTCAACTCAATTCAACCCACAATTTCATCTGTTAGTTTAAGCAGTGTAAATTATACAAAATCCTTATCTCAAATCGAGTATTTTGACCGAGTACTAACTTTGATTACGTAGATATCATTATCTGGGGACCTTGTTCTAAAAATATAATGACTTATTATCACCCACGATTACGTTCTAGTTGAATAATAACTCTTTTTTTTACCATTTATAAATACCAACAATTTTCCCAAGAGCAACGTGTTTGTGGACGTTATTCTCACGGTTCTCACTGCAATTTACAGCCGTTTTAATGACTAGTCGCTTAAAAGACAATTTTTTGCAGTAGATCACCATTCATTTATTTCGTATTTCTTCTATCAAATCTTTGTTTCCGGGCTCTTCATTAGATAAAGCCTTTCCATCTCATTTGTGGTTCTTTCTTTTGATGTTTTAATCCCGTGGTCTTTAGCCTTGGAAACTTTCAAGATTTACCGATAGAATTCAGTATTTCAACAGTTCTGTCATCAGCATTACAATTAACTTGAACGAGATACTAACGTTTGCAAGGTGTACTGCTCAGTTCAAGATCTTTATCCACGTGGGAAGTTCACGCCAACCTGTCACGTATGAGAGTTGTCTGATTATCATAATTTATGGAAACATCAAATAGTTAGGTTTGTATACCTACTAACTGTTGAACTTAAGCGACTCGACAAGTATGCAAATCATGTATATTTTTATCACTTTCATGCAAGATATTATCAAAAAAGGTTGATAATAAGAGACGTATATACTGTATAATTTGTAAGTCCCGATTAATTTAAAAAAAAAACTGTTTTTAAATGTTGGTCCATTTTAACTATACTAGAGATACTTACATATTATTGGATATAGTTCTTGGGTTAGGTTTTGCAAGACAAATTTATGATTTCATAATTATGCTTTCTTTGTAATAAATATGTCCTGTTTTGTATCTTTATTGAATAAAGTAAAACTACAATGGACATAGACAATATATAACCAAATAATAAACAGAATTCTCTGATTAGGTAGTTTATTGACGCTTCCGAATTTACATAATAATTAAATACATATCCAGTGATTGTAAAGTCATCGTTAACAATTTTTATAGCATGTACAACAACTGAATTGGAAATAAAAATGGTCGCTTAATATCTGAACTAAGATTGTTCTTTGCTGAGGATATTGAAGTTAATTATTGTTCTGAGTAAAACAACTGACTTGTGATCACCAAGACTTCTCAGAATTTGGTCAATAATGGGTCTTCACCACCACCTAGACTTTTAAGCCAAGACTACAGTCAATAGCATATCAAGGCGTCTAAAACTGTCAAGTTAAATCGTATTATGCATTTTGAACATAATGCTTAAATTCAAAAACTATTACAGACATTTTGTGGAAATTTAAAGCGAGGTTATATATAAAAAAGGTTAATTATTTTGTCAGCCTTGACCTTATTAAATGGATTTTAGAGAAGATGTCCTTTTGCAATTAACATTGACCTCATTTGCTGAATATATAATGACGTTTATTTCCTGTCAACCAACCATATCAACCTCGTATACTGGCCAGATATCGAATGTCTAAAACACAATAAGAGGTGGCACCCTCGACTATACGGCCCACCTGCCCTCCTGTCCATTTCCGGCCCTTTATAGCCTCGACCCGTGACGTCACGCGTCGGTGCGCACTATCACTTAACTATAGGACTGGATAGTACGATGCATCGGCTCCAAATTTCGTGTTTAAACTGCTGAATAATTTATAATGATAGGCCTTAGTTATGTATGTTTTGAATAAACAATATTGTACAGGTTGAACTACATGCGATTTACTATTGATATCAGTGCAGCGGGTCCTATCTGCTGCTTATACTGAGCTGAGTCCAGTGTTGGTATCACATAGCACACGCAATGATTCTGCTTTGTAAACCACATTTTTGATTTGTATATTTAATTTGGTTGTGTATGTTATGTGGTCTCGGCAATAAACTACTGTTCTTTCTTTCTTCTATCTTTTTATACAGATTAACTTCTAACTACTATTTATATTTGGTTATATTATAATAAGAGTGTTTTGCTCAGTGGCGTAGTGGATAAGCGCCGCCACCCGCGATAGTAGTCTTTAAGCAACTTTCGCAAGGGTCAGTCACGGGATGGGTGACCAAAAAATATTATCTCGAGCTACTCCGTGCTTCGGAAGGCACGGTAAGCCGTTGGTCCCGGCTGCATTTGCAGTCGTTAATACCCTCCAATCCGCATTGAGCCAGCGTGGAGGGTCATGGCCAATCCTCCTTAACCATCCATTAGGAAGGCCTGAGCCCCTGCAGTGGGGACGTAAAAGGGCTGGTGATTATGATGATGATGAAGAGTGTTTTTAGCATAATGCGAAGAATACAGATCTTATTCATTCATGCCTCGGAAGACACATGCAGTCATTGGATTCGGCTGCATGTTCAGTTGTTAACACCTACCAAACCGCCCATACTCGTTATTGCCTGTTGTCCTTATTTAATTCCTTCTAAAGAGAAGTCCTGTGCTCCAGCAATGAGAACATAATATGCTGATGATGAAGTATAAGTTAATATTTGAAAAAAAAAATATTTACAATCCATGATTTACCACGCATACTTTTCCTTTCTATTATTCGATTTCTACAATACTGTGAGATTTCGAACTCCATACCTACTGCTCGCTGATTGCATTATAAGAAAGACATCTCCAGCCATTACGTATGACCGCCATATTTGGTATCCAGGTCTCCGCCATTTTAGTAACACCTTCATCTCCTTTTGTTAATTAGACATTACTATACTAAGTAACGTGTATAGAATTGTTCAAATAAAAAAATCCCATATTGAACCATGATGTGCAATTAAGGCTAGTGACCCTGGCCCGGTAGCCATGTTTGCAATATGGCGCCCACCCACATGGCGCGCAAAGGTACGAATTGTCTATGCTTCGCTCTGTTATCTTTATATTGATTTATTAATTAATACAGATAAGACAGACTGAGAACTCGGTATTGCTATGATTCATGTAACTTGTGATTTCGAGGTCCCAACTTATTTAACATTTAGCTGTTGCCCCGCGAGTTTGCACGCGTAGCTTACAGCCTGTGACAGCCTCGTATCATATACCCGTAGGTGAAACAATTTTTAAAAACGATCCAGTAGGTAGTTTCGGAACATATTCGATGCAATTAAACAATTAAATCTTTAAATCTTTCCTCTTTATAATAAAAGTATAGTTACTAAAATTAATGTGTTACTAATATAATGTGTTACTAAAATTAACAAAGCATTTTATTTACATTTTCAGCAACTATTGACATAGGTATTTCCACTATAGTTGCCGCTTGTTGTACTTACCATAGTACTATCTACCTGAAGACCAATATTATTATTATATCTGTTCAATTAGATAATGCAATGGCAAAATACAAATAGTTTAGATTCTGTTTAGATTCGATTAAAACGTTAGCGTTAGCAAAAATTGTCCTGGTTGTATAGTAAAAAATATATAATACTTGTGTTTGCTTCAAAACAAGTAAGCTTCAAAATACCTATGATTAAGTTATTTACCTATAACTTAAAACTTGACGGAACTTGTTTTCATTAACACCGTTTCTTTGAAACTACGTAAACTAGATGTTATAACAACAACAAGATTTCAACTACCTACGTACGAATCAAGTTTATTGACTTCACCATTTAATGTATTAAAGTAATTTGTTTTCTTGTCATCAATAAAGATAATATTGTTAAGTTAAATTCTATTTTATATCTACAATCATTCTGTTCATAAATAACTGTGCTATTTGATTCAAACCTAATCAAAGACACCCCCATGTTTTGTATTCGCCATCACTGATAGATACACACGATTTTCCAGTGGTTAAAATGAAGCAAGAAAGATATACGAACGGATTAAAAGATTTATCAAATAACAAGCCATAACCCAATGGCCCAATGCAGATTTGTAAGTACCAACGACTGCAGATGCCACGACCAACAGCTAAATGTGATTTCCTAAACACGGTATAGCTGAAGATATTTTTTCGAGTCACCTTATTGGCGGGTTATTTTTTTTTTGTTTGTCATTATATAGTACAGTAGCTTTACGGAGTGTAGAAGGGGGGGAGAAATCAAAGAAATGGTGACATTCTAGATCCGGGCTTACATTTCACTAATCTTTGTAGTAAATTTACACTGAGACTGCACTTTCAATCAAAATTCATATTATTAAACAGAGATATAGCAAAGGTTTTATTTTATTGCTCGGCCTTAGCGTTTGTGGCCAAGCTCTACACTGCACCCCACTTAGTAGCAGGCTTTTATCTATCTTCTCTTACACACCAGTTCATTATATTACTCTTTTCCTTTCATACTTCATACAGTATCTTTCTTTCATTCCTTCCTTATATTTTCCACGAATGGCCGGGTTCGCCACATCTTTTACTAATATCCTACTCTATCTTATTTCTATTAGTTATTTAATAATGTACCCAACAACGTATTTTTATTTATACTTCTCTTATTGCTATTTATATTACATTTTAAAATTGCAATTTTAGAGTAAATTAACTCTGACGCTAAACCTTGTTTATTAATAGCACTGTTTATGACCAACCTTTATTATTACAACGACAATTAAGTTCCGTTATCTGTTAAACTCGTTCCTTAATAGTTTTTATTATAAATAAAACAACAAAAAAGTTAAACCGGTTACAATACAAACCGTTTGTTAAAAACTTTGTTGAGAAAAAAAGTCCATTCAGAGAGTACAGTGTATTTTCAATTAGATTTAGATCGAAGGTCGCAGTGGCTGCAGTGTCTTGACATTCCTTTTTTTAAGATAAGAATTGCATAGTCTCAAAAACAATGTGCGCGCTCTTAATATAAGTTATCTATATACATTATTTGTAAACCATATTTCCAGACTTTAAGATTGTTAACATTACTATGTTAACAGAACCTTTTTAAACGAAACT